ATGTGCGCTTCCAAAAAAAAAAAAAAAAGTGCTCACGTGTCTGATGAAGAGGTCGGCCAGAAGGTCGTGATTTTGAATGCAGCGCTCCAGCTCGACGAGGAAGAAACTAGAGAACAACATACAATGAGTGTGTGTGTGATCATTCGCGTTTCTTCTTATCTGACAGTGAGTCATCTTACAACACAACCAACCCCATTAGCAAAAAGATTTGAGCCATATATTGGACCAGAGACGTGAGCTACATGAATCAGGACAAAAATATTCAGACCATGGGGAGACTATTTAAAAAAATAAAATAAAAATTCCAACTACAATGGTGTGCTTCACCCAAAACATTAAAATCCTGTTACTTATATCAGAAAAAGTTAGTGACGTCAAAAGTTGCTTTTTGTTTTTCATCACATGGCTACATTTGTTCTTAACACAGCTAGCACGTACTCGTGGGCAAAATTAACCATTTGTGATTGTTTTTTTTTTCTTTTTTTAAATCAAAAATTCCTACTGGAAAAATAACTACAGTATCCTGATCCTCATTTTTCATACATGTAAATATTGAATTTGCCTATTTTATATATACAGTGTACGGGTATTGCAGAAGGGCTTAAATTTGTAATTTATTGCTTCTCCTTTTTCATTTTTACTGGCACATTTTTTAAAATGTAGCGTTTTTAAACCTCCCTCTTTATCTGGGTTGAAATAAATGCTCTTTTTTTTCCTTTCAACAAGATTTATTCGACCATATTTTTAAAATATATGTTTTTCGGGTGTCTTTTTTTTTTTTAACAACCTAAATGATCACATTTTCAAAAACATTGTTGCCCTCCAGCGTGCCTCCCGAGTATTGTACACTCACTCGCGATGCCAGTCGTAAATCTGCTGGATATTGCCGAAAACGATCTTGTCTTTTCCCCTCATGTCCTCTGGGATCCCTCTGACATCCAGCCTTGACATAAAGCCCTGTTTCACACACGCACACACACACACACACACACACACACACACACACACACACACACACACACACACACGCTTTGGTGTCAGGTACATCAATGCCTTCAATAAACTGTGAATTACGCCGTCCGCATTTGGCATCTAACCTCAACAATGACACCCAAGTCCTTCACGTAGTCCTTCTCTGATTGGACCATCTCGTTCACGACAAACCTGCACACAGAGACACCCA